TTCACTTGTTTGTTAAAATGTAAAGTGTTTGATAAAGAAATGCCTTTTTAATGCTTTTGTAGTGCATATAAGCCAACTGTGACCCTTAATATAAAGAGTTCAAGTTTACTTTAACACTTTGTAGAAGTTTATTTACCTTATTTTATTCCTTCTTCGAGGGTTTCAGAAATAATTTCTTTACTCTACCACATCACTACAATTTACAAGTTGGATGATGACTGGGTTTAAAAAAAATAAATCTAAACAAGTGCCACGCTTTTCATGGATAAAAAAGAACACCTACATGAATGTTTAAAGCCCAGTAATGAGCATGTTATGTCCAGTTTCCAGTCTTTTTGCTCAGCTAAGATAACAGCTAGGTAGCTCTACTTTTATATTTATCGTAAGACGTAAAACTGGTGATGATCTCGTTTAATTTTAAGCAGCATCAAAGAGAATGTTCATCTTCCCAAACTGTCCCAACTATTCGCTCACTTTTAATCACCCGTGGTTAAAATTTAAAGGATGTATTTGCCCAGATTCCAAATGCATAAATAAAGGCCATGTAAATAGTTTGGTTGTACCCAGGGTTTAATAGGAATTTTATAAACAAATGTATAGACACGATGTATATATCTAAAAAAAAATAAGCAAATAAAACCAAAACGTCATCCATTGCTAGATGCCACTAGGTAAAAATGAAGAAAATGTAGTTTCTAGTTGTAATTCAGTTTGGACCTCTGACCTCTGAGTTGTTGGGGTTTTTTGTTGTTGTTGTTGTTGTTTGGCTCTGCCTGCTGGAAATCTGTAAAATTAAAATGAGTTAATTTGATAGATCGATGTGATGATGATGCTTTTGTTATTCTGTCGCATTATCATTGCTTCACTAGTTGATAGTAATTTGCTTGGTCTTGTTGGCCATAAACATGAAGTTAATCTTTTTGCATGATGTCAAGTCTGTTCTGTATTTGGTGTAGTGAGCAGAGATTTGCCCTCCAGCACTGTCACATAGAGATGTTAAGTAATAACTGTGCATTTGGCATCTTATAGTGAAGCGTACTGAAGTCCCAATCGGTTTTGTGTTACGTGTTAAAAAGTCGTTCTTAAAAAAAAAACCCTCAGACTATTACGATTACTGTCATTACGCTCAGAGAGAGAAGACTTTTTTTTAGTTTAATTCATGTGTGTTGAGGAATACCTCCCAAGTTTTGGCTTAAAGTGATCTCAACACCCATAACGGGTATGACTAACTACATAGGAGTATGCTTTCACAGACTACAGGGGCTTTACATTATGTAATATATATCAATATAAAACATAAATTCCCAGCTTTTAAACCAATGGAAAATTTTCTCATGGTCAAAAGTGAGAAAAGCTTATGACAAATACTTCTACCCAAAGATGGTTTTATATTGTGTAACAACTCCCAGACTTTAGAAAAGTCAAGGACAAATTCTCAGTTTATTTATATATAACTCTATTTTCTGTTTTTTGTAGCAGTTTTGACTCCAGGTTAAGTTGGGTTTTTTTTTTTCAGACTAATCATGAGCAGAAGAAATATCCAGTATCCTTTTCAGTATTGCTTTGTCACATTTACTTGCTGTGCTCCTTGTAGTGTTATTGGAGGTTTAGTCTCATCAAGTTCAGTAACCAAAGTTACTAAAGGGATCTTGGGGTTACTTTAAGGGATCTTGCCAAAATAACAACTGACTACCTACTGCTTTAAAATGCTATAGCTTTTAAACATGTGCCACCACATGATATCAAATGTTAATCCATCATGTATGTAAGAAAATCTATGTGATATGTTACTAGAGCTGTAGTTCAAGAAGTTAATTATAACGTCGCTACAAGTAGATAACAATGCCTCTGGACTTTGGTGACTTTATATAAATAATGTATATAAATGTATGCCTTTTATATTTGTGTTGCATATTTACAGTAGCTTGTAAAGTGTAAATAGCTGAACAATTTTAGTTTGCCAATAAAATAATTGTAGATGTTTTTAGATTGTCTTTCTTGGCCTCATTTACCCCTTGACTCAAACAAATTGTTATTTGGACAGTGTGTGTTTCTGTTTTTTTTTTTCTTTTACTATGTACTGCTCTTAATTTGTAGGCAATTTTAGTATTTGATAGATATTAATACAATAATATGTGCAAGCCTTGAGTCATTCTTCATTTCTTTTTTATATTGCTAGGAAAATGCATTCTCTGTCAAGATGATCCCGCACTACTTAAGTAATGTTAAAATCTGGGCTTTTGGTGATTGGTGGCATCTATGACTGTTAGTGCCTCATCGTGTGTTTTGCTATCTTGGTCTGTTTGTATTGCACTGGCAATATGCTTCAGATCGCTGTCATGCTGAAAAATAAATGAGATCCTTTCCAGATGGTACTGCGTGGTGGATCGAAATCTGTTGGACTTTTTTGAATGCATAATTCCATCCCCAACATTACTAGCTGACATGCAGCTCCCACCATGACAGAATCTCCACTGTGTTTCCCGGATGACTGTGAACACTCACTGTTGGACCTCTCTCTTGAACTCATCTGCACATACTGACAACAATTTGAACCAACATTTTCAAATTTTCAATTTTCACTCTGTAAGACCTGTTGCTGCTGATTTTTAGTCCAGTTGTTCAGTAATTTGTCATGCATCAGCCTTTTCTCCTTGTTGTCTTTGTTTAAGAATGGATTCTTGACGGCCAACCTTCTACTGAGACCATTGCTGACCAGTCCCAAAAGGTTGATTCTGTTCATCTGGATGTAGTGTTTTTAAGTGGGAGAAACATTTTGTCACTCATCCAAGTGACGTGTCTGCAGAAGTAAGTACTGGAAATGCTGCGTCCAGATGAACAGAATCAGCCTTTTGGGTTTTCCTTACCTGGATGATTGAGCATGCATCAAAATATTTCTGATGAGGTTTCAGTGAACACTAACTAGATCAACTACAGGGCCAGATGCATCTCTCAGGTCCTGGGTCAGGTCTTTGCTAGATTTTTTTCCCCCTATTTCTTAAGGACATTACATTTAAATACTGTTCATTTGCTGTACATAGTTGGAAGCAAAACATAAATACATAAAAAAAACTTTTGCATTTGACTGTAGATCTTACCAATATTGGAATCCCGGAACCTCTGTTTTTTAAAGGTGTTCAGGCTGTTTTAAAGACAAGCTTATCATTTTAACTGCTCAGTTTTCCTATGAAACTGTTTGTCATCATGAGCCGCCGCTGCTGACCTCATTATGTCAACATACTGCTGGTTTTTACTGTAACACATTAAGAATTTTATTTAGACCGGCACAGGTCTGTGTATTTCTGAATGCTCAAGCTAACGTTACATTTAAGTACTATAGAAATGAACTCAACAGAATATCATCTATATTTACTCAGACTAAAGACATTACAGCAGTAGCAAGGGCCCTGCAGTTAAATGGTACATTAGAACCCAGCAATAAAATGTTTGATTTATTTTTTTTACAAGAGAACAAAAGCCAAGACTGGTAAAATGGCTGTAATAAGCCTACTGTGAGCTGGTATAGTTCAAGATTATTTATTATTTTTAAATGCCCCATTCCTTTATTGTGCTGTGAAAATATTGTTAAAATAAAGAACGTGTCTCTCATGTCAAATAAATATAAGTAGCCATGTTTTTTCACTCTTAGAAGATTAGAATAATTCAAATTATAGCAGTGGAAGTGATTATTTTATCTTAAATTGTATTTGACTTTATATTGGAACTGTCTGTTTTAACATTGTGTGTCTGACAAGGTAATCAGCAACACAGAGGCACCACAAGGGACTGTCCTCTCCCCCTTCCTCTTCACCGTCTACACCACAGACCTAGGCCACTGCACAGAGACCTGCCATCTTCAGAAGTTTTCTGAAGATTGCGGTGGTTGGATGCATCAGCAGGGATGATGAGACAGAGTACAGGGCTGTGGTCGACTCCTTTGTCACATGACGTGAGCAGAATAATCTGCAGCTCACCGTGGCAAAGACCAAGGAATTGATTGTGGACTTCAGGAACACCAGGAAACACTTGGCCCCTGTTTAATCCAGGGGGTCAATGTTGACATTGTGGAGGACTATAAATACCTCGGAGTATACATAGACAATAAACTGGACTGGGCTAAAAACACCACAGCACTTTACAGGAAGGGCCAGAGTCGTCTCTATTTTTTGAGGCGGATGAGGTCCTTCAACATCAGTCGGACAATGTTCAGGATTTTCTACGAGTCTGTGGTGGCCAGTGCAATCCTCTACGCTGTTGCATGCTGGGGGAGCAGATTGAGGGTTTCTGATGCCTACAGACTCAATAAACTGATCTGCAAGGCCAGCAATGTTGTGGGGATGGAGCTGGACTCTCTTAAGGTGGTGTCGGAGAGGCGAATGTTGTACAAGATAAAGACAATGTTGGATAATTCCTCCCACCCACTCCATGGCATGCTGGCTAGCCACAGGAGCACGTTCAGACTATGGCCATCTTTCTGTACAACTCCTCCACCTAACACACTGTATACACTGTGATAGCTACACCCTTTTTGCACATGCTCTTCTTTCTTATTCAGATATTTATTAGTAAGTGACTTATATGTATGTATATATATATATATTGTATATATTGTACTGGAGCACTGTAACCCACACAATCTCCCCTGGGGATCAATAATGTTTTCTGATTATGATTCAGATTTTTAATGTAATTGGTTATTTCAGTGGTAATATAATTTGATTCTATATTTTGATATAATTTGATTCTTTATGTTTTGTTTTGGAAAACAGCTTGTGTCCAACCTCAGGCAGTGCACCATACACATAATCTGTAATTTCTATATAAAGTTTATTCGCTGCAATGCCTTTAAGTCTTTAACGAGTAGATAAACTCTATAACTGTGTACGTCCATTGGATGGCGCTGCACGTCAGCTATTCTAGCGGTCTCATTTGGTGCCAAGGTATTTCATAAACATGTGACGACAAGACTCATTAGCCATTTTAACAGCACTCCGTGCATCCTTGACCAGAGAGGTGCCCCTGCGTATCGCAGTTGGTCAGTGAGAAGAGGGCGGACTGCTGGCCTTCATTTCATTTGTCATGCTAGAGTCTGCATCCGCGGGAAATGCAGAGGAATGAGGCTGGCACAGCGCCCACTGCGGTCTGCACATCACACTCCTAAAATCACGCCTCGCTGGTTTGCACATTAATTGGTTTCGCTCACACGAGCTACAGCGGAGAGCTCACCTGATTTAACAGGGCTATCGCGACAAGTTGCTCGAGTGACGTCGCTGCGACTGGTTGACAACTTACAGTTGTCACACGATGATCAGGTTTTTCGCGCGAGCCTAAATACGCACAGAAAGAGACTGCAGCACTGTCGCCACCACCGAGGGACGCGCTGCTTACCAGGCCAGGACTAAGTGAGCCAGTCTACCGTGGAGCAGAGAGCACGGGCATTTCAGTCTGTGGATGGATGCAAGACATCGGGATTTGATAGATTCGACATGGACCACATACAAATCTGAGGTTTAGTGTAACAAACACAAACCCAATAACAACAAAACAAAACAGCAAATGTTCTGAATTCATTTGCCTCCCTTTTGAGCTTCTTGTAGACCAGAAGAGCGGGACCACAGACTTCTTGCAGGTGGATAAGCTGACTTTGTTTGCAAGTGAAAGAGGCTGTTTTTTTTATAGAAGGCAGTACTGGAAGCAAAAGCTGTTCCATTGTTATTCCTGGCATCGGCCGACGCACTAAAACCATCAGCTCTCTGAGATTCTTATTGTTTTTTTCTTTTTTTGCGCAAGCGGTCGGTGCGCCCCTGCGTTTGGATCCAATGGGTTGTACGGTGAGCGCCGAGGATAAAGCTGCTGCGGAGAGGTCAAAGATGATTGACAAAAACCTCCGAGAGGACGGGGAGAAGGCAGCCAGAGAAGTGAAATTGCTTTTATTAGGTAGGTAGGTTACATCTGGAGTTGACTCCTCAGGAAACTGAAAGGAGTGTTTCTTACTCCAGAAATGATCGTGTCACGTTGCCTGTACATAATACTCCGAAAACTCATAAAACCATAAATATTACAAACTACCACAAAGGCAAGTTAAACCTCACTATATCTAAGGCAGGACACTATACACATAATCTTAGCTACAGCATAGAAAAGGGGCCATTTCAGTGCTCATCTGTCTACAGTCATGTTGTGTATTATTAATTAGCCTACACAAGTGCCCACACTATATACTTGGAGATAAGTCAGATATCCTCATGTCAACATGCTGCACAGCTTCTTAGAGGATTGAGCTGGCATTTTTCCCAGAAAGCTTAATTCAATATATTAAACCTGTGGGCATTCACAGGATTACACTTCAGCTCTACTCTTATACTCACATTAATCTCTCTCAAAGGGATACAAGGAAGAAAATGCCAATTTAATAGGTGGCAACAGCAAAGCAACAGTTTATATCGAACAAATTCTGCATCTTGAAGGCACCATCTCCTTTCCTCCTTCTGCATTTCCATCCTGTGTGCACACAAAGTCGCATACATATGCAAACAGGAAATACATCCTCCCACTCATTACCGCATTCTCACTTCCCTTCTTAACAGTTTCAGCTGTTTAAGTTTGACTCGATCGTGCTTCTGATTGGTCTGTCAGCTCCTTCGAAAGGGATTGCGTTTAATGTCAAGACAAGAGTTTGTGTGAATGCCAGTAGAAGTGGGCATTTTCTGAAAGCTGTTTTGCCTGGCATGATCGCAAGCTTACCAGCAATCTCCCTCCTTACTCCAGCTCTGTTTTCAGAAGATGTGGAAAGATTTGCAAATCATATGGGCGATGTAAAAACATGATAACCAAAAAGACTCCATGATAAGCAAAAATATACTTGCAGGCCACTCTCTCAGTTAATTCGGTTAATTGGCAATTAGTAATTTAACTTGGTTGTTAATATTGTTATTGCTAATATTTATTACCTCTATGGATAGTTTGGATGTTTAAATGGCCTGTATTTGTATAGCGCTTTACTTAGTCCCTAAGGACCCCAAAGTGCTTTACACTACATTCAGTCATCCACCCATTCACACACTGGTGATGGCAAACTACATTGTACATAGCTGCCCTGGGGCGCACTGACAGAGGTGAGGCTGCCAGACACTGGCACCACCGGGCCCTCTAACCACCATCAGTAGGCCCAAGGACACAACGACCGAGGCTGTCCGAGCCCGGCAACCTTCCGATTACAAGACGAACTGCCAACTCTAGAGCCACGATCGCCTTCAACTCTGGTCATGCACACATATTTCAACTAAAATAAAACTGGTTTTTCCTTCTCACATAAATTCACCCCATCTCTTAGAGGAAAAAATAAAATATAAATAAAAAATTGTATCAAAGCTTAATGCAAATTATTGCCTTCTCTTTTTAACTTTTTTAGTTAAAACATCTTTGCCATCAAATAAGGTGTTTAACTACCTGACCTAAGTGAACCTCCTAAAGGCAAACTATAACATTTTTTACTTCTTTCGTTGCACCTACGTGACAGATGCTCATAGGAAAAATACTGAAAGGCTGTGAGATCTCTTTCTGTTTCTGCTGCACAGATTTTGGTAAAGACTTGTGTTTTGTCCATTAAGTGACCATTTTTCAGAAAGATTTTTTACTCCCCATGTTTGGTGGACACTTATCTTTGACCTAATGGAATGGGAATGTGTTGTAATCTCAGTGCATCTTTGTGAGCTGGATGGATATGCTTACGTGCTGTACAGCTTTGCCTTTATGGATATTTAAGCTGATGTTGGGCAATTTACTTTAGCAATCACCATGAAATATTGTATTGTTTTTCTTGGCCTTCATGCATTATACTGCAGGTTGTGGTGTGTTTCCAGGCAAACACAACTCTACAGCACTCTTTGTATGTGATTTTTTTCTTGGTTAGCATCTCTTGCGCTAAATCCAAAGTATTTTCAAACAGCGGATGATGATGTCCTTCAAGGGATGAGCTTCTCACATTCTACCGTGTCAGATGTTTGATTTTTGTTTGATATTTGTCTGTTATCTGTTGAATATCTGACTTTTAATGTAGTGTTACTCCTCCAGACTATACTCAGGAAACTTCAAATGCGCAGTGCAGGGAATAGCTGTGATCGGCACATGAAGGCTTGTCTTCAGGCTGACTTTTAGGAGTACATAGTACTCAGTACTTATTTTGATTTGTGTTGTGCTGGTGGATCATGTATTTTTGTTACTGGTTTAATCACATTCATTTAGTAGTGGGAAGCCAAAATTGTGATCAAGATTAATATTTGATAAAATGTGCAGGCCTGCTTTGTTTGCAGGGATGATTAAAAAACAACAACAACAACAACCCAATAGTTCGGAAGTTGGGGGAGCGGTCACTTGGATAGACAGATGTCTGGATGCAGGCAGGTGGTGTCTTCAAGGCCTTACTCGGGTAATAGGACTCACTGAACTGGACCTCTCTGCCACTTGCGTAGATGTTTGTGCTTCAGTTTTGGTGATTGAAATACTAGTGTTATATTAGTCTGTTGCTAAGCACTAATTAGCAGGTATAGGTAGCTGGTGCCCCCCTATGGTTTATGGATGCAGCTTGCTAACCAAGGTTCCTGACATTAGCTGATAAATTAGTAATGCAACCTGTCCTCCAAATATGGTAACTTCTGTCAAAAGACAGCAGTGTTTTCTGTGTCAAGAGCAGCTCAGCTCTCATTAAATACAAACATCTGCTCTTAATCTAGACACGTTCTACTTTTTAAACACTTCTTTTGCTTAAACTTATCATATCTTGATGATTTTTTATTTAGTCTGTTGTAATTTGATGACTGGCTTCACCTTGTCTGACATCTCAAGCAAGCCATTTGCAGACTTCTGTTTGCTCACAGCACCGGTCAGTGGTATTTATATATATCTTTGAATCTTTGTGTCTAATACCAACGTGAGGTTGTAAGAGGACAGTTGACTGGCAGAGTAAAATTGACAGCAACTAGTTCAGAGTCATTTAAAAGTACAAGTACAGTGCTTGGAGCTTACAGCATTTTGAATTTCATTTGCCTTCTTTGGTTTCAGTCCCGTGCTGTGGTTTTCCTAATAAGACAAGTCAAACTGTCTGCTGTAAAAAGGGCATATATTTATTATACACAGTTTATCAAACATTATGTAACATAGTTTGTTTTTCATGATTCAAAATAATTTGTGGAAACAGATGCAAACAAGCAGCCTGAAGTTCTAAATAGTTAAGTTTACTTACAAACTGCTTAGCAACCAATTAATTTGTCACAGCATCTGAATAAGTATAATAATAATATCAATTAACCAACAATAGTAAAATAGCAGTAATAATAGTAAATGTAGTGATAATAGTAGTCATGCTAGTAATCTTAGCATCATTGTAATGCAGTATATAAAAATATTATGATTAAAATGTATATGTACCTGTCCCATCTAACTACTGGCTAATCACCTGTGCACCGCCTGGATTGATTATAAGAAAGCCTTTGACTCAATGCCCCACACGTGGATCCTGGAATGCCTGGAACTGTACAAGATCAGCAGGACGCTAACAACACTAGAGGCCAACTTCAAGTCAATAGCATAAGTCACCATCAAGTGCATGTTTTACTAAGGAGATCCTCTGTCCCCACTGCTCTTCCGCATAGGCCAAACTCCCTCAGTAAAATCAAAAGACTGTGGTATGGAGCAATAGACACACAGAGTATTGTATTATAGAAAGTGATTAGAGGAGGTATGAAAGATTTTCTATTCCTGTGCTTGTGGCAGTCTATTAGAGACGGAAGGACTGCTTCTGCCTGCCTATTAAGTGGTGCAGAGGGTGTTCAGGATTATCCATGATGGATAACAGTTTGTTCAGCAACCTCCTCTCTACCATAGCTTCATAAAGAAAATGAAAAAAGAAACATCACAAAGCAGGCCGTCCTAGTCAGTTTATTCAGTCTTATGGTGTCACCAGCTCCATCGCTGCTTACCAGCAAGCCATAGCAATACACTCCATTCGCCACAACTGTAGTGCTAGAAAGTCTCCATCATTTTGCTGCAGACATTGAAGGGTATCAAATTCCTTAGGAAATAGAGCCTGCCCATCCTATTCTCATATACGGCCTGTGTGTTTTTCTTCCACTCCAGTTTGTTGCCAGTGTGGATGCTCAGGTATTTTTACTCTTCCAACACATTAAAAGTATTTCTGTAAGTGCTGTGACACTGACTTGTACTGAAGGCCTGAGGTGTACAAGCGAACAGGAATAGAGACAGAAAAGTCCCCTGTGGAGCTCCTGTACTGCACATCACCAAATCAGACAGACCAGTACCCAGCCTCATATACTGAGACATATCTGTCAGCCAGGCAGTAATCCATGAGATGGTGGACGTGTTTTTGGACATTTGCCCGTTCTCTTAATACCAGTGGCTGGATTGTGCTTTCTCACAATATGAAGTATCTTCTTCTTCAAGTATCTTCTTGGTCCAATTTGTCCATAGACTTGTTTTCCTGTCTCAAGCATAACAGATAGAAGAATCAGATTGATGTGTAAGTAAACAACACATTTGGCCTTTCAACAGCATAAATATTTTACAAGGTGTCCAGAGGAATTATGTCACAAAGATTTTGATAAAAGCACAGGGGCTGTGTTTGGGACTATTTCTTTGTTAGCCGAGTGGCTTCCCGCTGTCAAGGGGCTTGAGGGAATTTCTTCAAATGGCACAAATGTGGCTGCAACTATATTTTGTGAGATACCTTAACTCAAAATTTCACATGCTACTTATTACACAGTTGTATGCAAATGTCTGATTAGATATATTTTTTTACACCTAAAATTTCATAGAAAAAATTTGGATTGAACTTGAGAAGATCGTTCTAGTTTTCAAGATTAAGGCAACGAAATGAAACACACACTTTGTGGGCTTCAGAGATCTTAGCATGTGAATTTTGT